TTAAAAGCCAATCTTTGAAATTCTTCAACAAATTGAAAGCTGTGGAGTATAAAGTCTATTGAAAATGATCAACTCAAAAGATAAAGTATTGAAAACCTTATGAATCTTTATCATGTCCAAAAAATTTTTAAGGTTTTGGATTAAGATGATGTTACTAAAGATTTCATGGTAAACAAATTGTTGTAAAATATTTTTTTTCCTTTTCTACATTTTCTAATTGTTTTAGATTATAGAAATCAATAAAAGCATAAATTTTAATTTGTTTTTCAATTTCTACTCTGTATCGTTTGAGATCTTCAACAAATGCTCTGGTCATTGAACAAAAAGTCTATCATTTGTTACTTTATTATATGCGCATATATATATATATGTATTCTTTGTTATCAATATAAACTTGTAATTAATTTTTTTTTCTATTCTATCCTTTGTAATCTTAATGTCATGCAATTTAATTCTCTATATTCTAAGTTTATTATTGTTCATTAAATAAAATAACAACTTTCTTTCTATATTTTATATTTATAATTTACATATTTATATCAATATATAAATCCTATAATATGCTGATTTGTTCTTTTTGTCATAATGAATCTAAAAACACAAGTTAATTCTGATTAATAATGTATGTATATCTCTATTTAAATTTATGATAACAGACTATTGCAAATTAACATTATGGTTAAAGAAACTTCCAATCGATTGCATGAACACATATGTACATTACGCTAAAACTCTAATTACCATAAATCTTAAAAATTTACTTCCTACTCAATTCAAATTGGATTTATTTAACATTAATGGTCAATTATATTTGAAAAATGGTTAGAAAGCTTTTATTGATGCACACTACTTGCAATTTGGTAATGCATTTACCTTGAACTGCAATAATTGTATATCTTTTCATGCATTTCTATATGTTGAAATTAGTGATGTTATCATTGGAGACATCTTTCGAGCAAGATTAGCTAATATCTTGATTTCAAATATCTTTCATATAAAAACAATATGATTATCTTATGATTTTTTTCTTAAGATTCTATTTCTTTAATTTTGTAATTGAAATAAGACAAAAAGCTCAAGCAAGTTCTTCAAATATAAAAAAAGAAAAGCGTGCTCAGTCAATTAGTGCAAAAAAAAAAAGCCTACCAATGTTATTTATCTTGATAATACTATCACTGAAACAGACTAGCATGACAAAATTTGCACCGATGAAGAAGATGAAACTGATAATGAGAACCATGATTTTGATGCAACATTTGAAGCTACCATGATAAGGACCAATGTTGAAATATCATGTATGTTGGTAATACAACTTATATAACTTGTTTTCATATAATTTCTGCAATATTTAAATAATTTAAATGTTTTAATGATTTATTGTTTAATTATTGTGAATCATTATTTTTTCAACCGTTTTTAAATTGCAACATATTCCTGCTACCTTTTATAAAGAGTCCCTTCCACAACATGATGTCGATGTTGTCTTGATGGTTCTACAAAAGCGCACAAGCTGACCTATTCGATTTAGATATTTAGAGAAAAATAAAACTCTTTTAAGTGGTTGGAGAAAATTTGTGATAGACAATTGGTTGATCTCTAAGGATCATTGCTTTTTTCAAATGGTTGAACAATGTTTATTCTATGTTCTAATTAATAGAAATTAGATGTGTAAAACTTAACATGCATTGCTTAATATTTTGTTTAAACTCTAATATTACTTTATAGCCATTGTTTTAGCTGCTTTTGTATCTTTTTTATTGACATCTTTAAGCAAATATTTTTTAATATTTAATCTTATTAACTGTTTATATGATATATGATTAGTGTGGTGTGATTCTATTTAAATTTTTTTCCTTTGGCAGAGAGCAATTCTTGTAGCATTGCGCCAGCAGTATTCTACTAAAGATAAAAAGAGAATTTCAATAGAATCAATATAAACTACATTTTTAAGATAAAAAAAATAGACCAAAAAATATAGTTTCCTTAGAAAACTTCAACAAAATTGATCTATCCTTAAAATGAAAGTTAACTACATGATTTAGTATATTTAAATGTGTAGTTAGAATAAGTTTTATGATGAATGCATAGCTTAGGTATTGGAATTTAAAATTAAGGATTGATGTGATAAATTTTATATTTAAATATGTAGATTTATTTTGATAAAATTTAATTAAATATTAAATTTATTTATTTAATTTTGGGATTTGATTTATAATTTTATGTTTGAGTTATATATATTTATTATTTAATAAATTTTTATTTTGTCTTTTTTTTTATGATGATGAAGCATTTCATAATGGTAAATGTAATATAATGACAAATTTTTTAATTATCATGCTTATTTAAAAAATTACATATAAATTATATAAAATTTAAAGCCAAATGACATCTTTGTCCTTGGATACATAAAAAACATATATGTAGTCTATATAGGAAAGATTTAGATAAAAATTTTTAGGAGAAATTTATGAAATTTTTTACTAAAAACGATTAAATAAAAACTAAATAAAAAATAAAAATCGATAACTTAAAAGATTTTATTACGTAAATCAAGTATGAAAAATTAAAAAAGAAACTTTTGATATATTTTTTTAGATAAGTGTTTTTAGTAAAAATTTTTATAGAATTTTTATTAATTAATAAGTACATATCAAATTTAAATTATGAATAATATTTTTAAATTTTTTTTATATATTATTGATTTGTATATTAAACTCTATCAAGATTTGAATTTTTTATAAAATTATTTTTTAGAAATTCATAAATTCTATTAAAAAAACATTATTTAAGTATCTAATATATAAAATTTGAAAGGATGTCCCTGGCATACCACGTGTCAATCCCTAATTTTTTTTCTTTTTTATAAAATATTTAATTATTTAATAAAAATTTTCTCTAATTTTTTTAAAATTTTTAAAAATATATTTTTTAAAAGATTTTATTTTTAATGTGCGTGACTCACTTATACTAAATTTTCTTTTTGCTTTCCTTTTTTAACTATTTTTTACTTTTTCCCTTTAAAAAATTTAATAAATGTTTTCTAAACTTACAAAAAATATCTTTTTAAAAATTTTATTTTTTATACGTGGATCCACTTATACCAAACTTTCTTTTTGCTTTTCTTTTTTTTTTTTTTATCTTTTTTTAAACCTTTTTCTTTTTAAAAATATTTAACAATATTTTTTAAATGATAACAAATATATTTTTTAAGATTTTATTTTTTATGTGTGGGATCCATTTAGAGCAAATTTTTTTTACTTTTCCTTAAACCCTTTTAAAAATTTTTTTAAAAAATATTTAATAAATATTTTCTTTAGATATTATGTTTTTTAGACTTGCTTGGTAATAATAGTATGTTACATGTTTTTTTAATTATTTTCATTTTTATAGTTAATAAATATTTTTTTAATTTTAGTTTTTTTAGTCTCATTTGATATTAAGAATATGACATGTGTTAAGTCATTTGACTTTTTTTTTCACTTTTGCTTTATTTATTTATTTTTTTAAAAAAATATTTAATGTTTTTGAAAAACATAATATTAAAATTTATTTAATCTCAACCAATCTATCAATGTGTCTTTTTTTGTTTTTACTTTTATAGATTTTTTGTTTTTTTGCTTAGATAAATTTTGTAAAAAAAAATATTGGTGTTTATATGGCACCTCAATTTACTTTTTTTTTTATCAGATAAATTTATCAACAAAAGAAGCTAATTCATAGCAATGGCAAAACAGAATATCAAATAAATCTACATTCAATTAGGATGTCCACGTAATATTTCAACAAGTTTTATTTTATTTTTTTTCTTTTCTAAATTTTATATCTTCACATTTTCTTAGTTTTTCCTTTTTTTCATTTTTTTAATAAACATAATTTTATAAAAAAAAGATGGATTTATCCATGTGACACCCAATTTGAGTTTTTTACCTTTTTTTAAAATTTTTTTTTTAGTAAGCTAAATTTTGAAATGTAATATCTCAATTGATAAAGATGTTAAAATCGAGATTCAATTGAGACTAGTCGAATTTTTTTTTAAAAATGGCAAGATTAGATCATAAGCATGTTTATGGTACTTTATTTTGACTTAGTGTGTATAAAAAATATATATTTTATTATTTATTTGGTTTTATATATATATGTGTATTATATTAATAAAATAATTCTTTTTACCTTAACTTATGAAATTTTTTAAACTCAATATTAGATGCCAATATAGCATCTCCTATCTGGCTTTTTTTTTTTCTTTTTTAGTTTTTTTCAAAGTTATTTCTTTTACTCTTTTCTCGTTTATAACTTTTTTTTTGTAGTTTTTAAATTAATTATACTAAAAAAATGAGCTAATTGAAATATACACGTTTCATGCTCATTCTTTTTCTTTTTTTTTTATTTGATAATTTTTTGCAACAAAAAAAGATGAATAGATATGAAAAAATAAAAAAAATTATCTTCAATTAGGTTAAATAATTTGAAATATAATAAAATAATATGATATAAAAATAATACGAAAAAATTTTAAAATAACATAAATTAAAATTTTAATAAAAATATATATAAATTTAATATAAATTAAATTATATTTTTTTATTGATATAAATTATAATATATAATTTTTAAATAAAATATAATATAACTATAAATATTATTATTTTATAAAATATAAATATACAAATTATTAAATGTAGCTGCGACAATGCGCAGATGGCTTCCTAGTGGTACTTAATTTTCGTTTACTTTCTCTCTGGATCCGACCATAGGGTAAAGAAATTAAAAAAAAAGAAAAGAGAATAATATAAAATGATGTTTCCATCAGTCATCAGTCATTGCTCATGGATTCCAAGAATCTCAATGGATTCCATCAATGAAGCAAATGCCAACACTCTCGAAGTCAATAACAGATAACTATTGGTAGGCGCAGAAATAATCTTTAATTCAAAGGACACAAAGCTTACGTTGTACGTTTTTTGGTCCAAACAATATTTAACCTTTCTTTTAGCTTTCACAAGACTTAGTAAACTGTTTTTTGTTTCTTTCTTTTCTCCGACATCGATCGTCTTGGTTTTCTCTCAATTGCTTTGTTTCTGATAATCCCAATTTGCTGAAGAAAGATCGAATCATGTCAATAGTTGGAGAGGCTGCTCTTTCTGTTTCGTTTGAGCTCTTGTTTCACAAGTTAGCTTCTTCCGACTTTCTCAACTCTGTTACTGAAAAATAAGTCCGCAGGAAGCTGGAGGAGTGGCGCAAAATACTGCCGAGTATTCAAGCAGTGCTCAACGATGCTGAGGAAAAGCAAATGAACGATCAGAGTGTGAAAATTTGGTTGGCTGAACTACAAGAGTTGGCCTATGATGTGGATGACGTCTTGGACGAGTTCGCCACCGAAGCTTTACGTCGCAAGTTGCAAGGAAGAGATGAAGCCAGCTCAAGTAAGGTACGGAGATTCATTCCTGCTTGTTGTACTAGTTTCATTCCCTCTGCCTTTATGTTTAATAATCAGATGATTTCTAAGATGGAAGAGATCACCGCTAGACTGAATAGTTTGGCACTACGAAGAAGTCAATTGGAATTGAGGGAGATTAGTGGAGGTGGAAGGTCTATGAATATGAAATCCAGGCTGCAACCTACTTCTCTGGTGGATGAAGCTCATGTGTTTGGTAGGGAAAAACAAAAGTTGGAAATACTTGAATTGCTCAAAAACAGCGATGGCGGTGAAGATGGAGTTGCTGTGATTCCCATTTTTGGAATGGGAGGGGTTGGTAAGACAACTCTTGCCCAACTTGTTTACAATGATGATAGCATTAGCAATCTTTTTTATCTCAAGGCTTGGGTATGTGTTTCTGATGATTTTGATGCAATTCATATCACAAAGACAATTTTACAGTCAATTACTTCAGAGTCTATTGATCAAAATGATTTAAATTTGCTGCAAGTTAAGTTGAAGGAGAAGTTATCTGGGAAAAGGCTTTTGCTCGTTTTGGATGACATTTGGAATGAGAATTACAATGATTGGACCATCTTGCGCTCTCCTTTTGGGGTGGGAACAAAAATTATTGTCACAACTCGGAGTGAAAAAGTCTCATCAAATGTGGTTACTGTTGAACCTTACCCCTTGCGTCAGTTATCGTATGATCATTGTTTATCTATATTTACCCATCATGCATTAGGGGTAAGAGATTTCAGTGGACATCCACAATTGAAAGAAGCTGGAGAGAACATAGTAAGAAAGTGCAATGGGTTGCCTTTAGCAGCAAAAGCCACTGGGGGCTTGTTACGCACTGTTATGGATCAGCATGCATGGAAAGATATATCCAATAGTGAGATATGGGATTTACCAAATGAGCAATGTGGCATAATGCCAGCTTTACGGTTAAGTTATCATCATCTTCCTTTGCATTTGAACCGATGCTTCGCATATTGTTCTATTCTTCCTAAAGATTATGAATTTCAAGAACAGGAGATAGTTTTGTTATGGAGAGCAGAAGGTTTTTTACAGCAGATAAAACCTACGAGTCCAATTGAAGGTCTAGGTAACCAATACTTTCGAGATCTACTATCAAGGTTATTTTTTCAAATATCTAGTACGGATAAATCTAGATTTGTAATGCATGACCTTGTCAATGATTTAGCTCAATCAGTTGCAGGAGAAATATGCTCAAAATTGGAGGGTGATAAACGGCCGCAATTCTCAGAGCGCACTCGACATTTCTCTTATATTGTGGATCGGTATGATGGGGTGAAAAAATTTGAAACAATTGATAAAATGAGGTTCTTACGAACCTTTTTGCCATTTAAGTTGTCAAGTGAATGGTTTAATTACCATTTAAGCAACACCGTCCTCGCTGATGTGTTGTCTGAACTTAGATGTCTAAGAGTGCTTTCTTTGAAGGGATATTGCATCAACGAGTTGCCAAATCATTTTGAAAATTTAAAACATCTATGCTATCTAGATTTTTCTTATACGGTAATCAAAAGATTACCTGATTCACTCTGTACCCTTTGCAATTTAGAAATCCTGATATTAAAGGGGTGTAAAAGCCTTGAAATGCTACCCTCAAAAATAGGAATTCTAGTAAACTTGCAGCATCTTGATATTACTAGTGCAAATTTATTAAAAGGGATGCCTTTTGGAATTGGTCAACTAATCAATCTTCAAAGACTGTCTAATTTTATTTTGAGCAAAGGTGATGGACATCAAATACGAGAGATGTAGAACTTGTCAAATCTGAAAGGTGATCTTTCTCTTTCAGGGTTGGAGAACATTGTTAAGGCTCAAGATGCATTGGAAGCTAAGTTAACTGATAAGTCAGGCCTTGATGAGTTAAAACTTAAGTGGAGTGTAGATTTTGATGACGCTACAAGGCATAAAGAAGTTGAAGAGGAGGTGTTGAACTTTCTTCGTCCTCATAGAGGGCTTAAGGAGCTCACCTTAAAAAATTACGGTGGTACAAGATTTCCAACTTGGGTGGTGGATCCTTCATTTCAAAATTTGTTGTCTTTGAATCTCAAAAACTGCAAAAATTGCAAATCACTACCATCAATTGGAAAATTACCCTTTCTCAAAGATCTTTTTATTGGGGGAATGGATGAGGTAATGAAGGTTGGTGTTGAGTTTGTTGGAGAGAATAAGGCAAATGCATTTGCATCGTTGGAGAGATTGTGTTTTCAGGATATGCCAAAATGGAAGGAGTGGGACCTTTATGAAGCTGATGAGCAAATTATGAAATTCCCAAGCCTCAAAAAGCTTTCCATCATTAACTGCCCCCAATTGTTGGGAAGGTTGCCTGAACATCTTAATTCCTTAGAGAAGCTTCTAATCCGTAGTTGTACAAAATTGGTGGTTTCAGTTTCAAACCTTCCAATGCTGGTTGGATTAGAGATAGATGGGTGTGCAGAATTGTTGTTTGGCGATTATGCATACTTTCGCTTGTTGAAAAAAGTCTCTCTTTCAAATATTTTCAAGTTTTGTACTCTCATGGAGAGGCTGGTGCCAAGCTTGACCAAAGTTGAGTATTTGAAGATTGATGGTTTCAAGGAACTTACACATGTATCGCAGGGGGAATTGGGATTACTAAGGCATCTAAGGTCTCTCCGTAATCTGAAGATTTATAATTGTCCACAACTGGTATTGTTAGAGCCAGAGGAGTAGAGGAGGAACAGTTGCAACTTGGGAAGCTTTGCAATATTGAATTTCTTAAAATAAGTAAATGCGAAAGGCTTAAGAGACTGCCACAACTCTTGCACTTCCTTAAATTTCTCAGAGAGATAGCAATTTACGAATGTCCAAGCATAGTTTCTTTTTCAAAGAATAACTTTCCTCCTGCTTCAAAAACATTGACGATCAATGATTGTGTGAATTTTCAGCAATGTTTGTTGGATGAAGGAGAAAATATCTGCATCAGTAACACATCTCTTCTTGAGTGCTTGGCAATTGAAGGGTGTCCATCTCTAATTTGTTTATCATTACCTATTAGCCTTCAATATCTTGTAGTTTCGAACTGCTCCAAGCTAGCTTCCTTATCATCAAGCGGCAAGTTACCCTTAGGGGTTAAAAAATTAGTTATTCGTAATCTCCCGGAGCTGGAATCCATCACACAAGCAATTCATGAAAACGCTTGTCTTGAATGTGTTTGTATTTGGAGTTGTAAAAATGTCAAATCTTTGCCGCGAGGATTAGACAAGCTCAACCATCTTCGGAAGATTGAATTAGCAAGTTGTCCAAATCTGGTTTCCTTCTCAGAAAGTGGGTTGCCAACCACCGAGCTAACAGACCTCTCAATCTTGGGGTGTGAAAATTTTAAAGCTCTGCCCAATTGCATGCACAACCTCACCTCTCTTCAGATATTGGTGCTGCATAGATGTTCAGCTGAAACATCGTTTCCAGAGGAGGGTTTTCCAACCAACCTAAAAGTACTTTCCATCTCATCACCCAAAATTTGTAGGTCACTACTTGAATGGGGATTGCATAGGCTCACCTCTCTTAAAGAAGCTTCTATTTTTGGTGAAGGATGTTTGGATGTGGTGTCATTTCCTCAAGAAGAGGCTGGAATGATGTTGCCTCCCTCTATCACCAAAATCTTCATAGCAAATTTCGAAAATCTGAAATACCTGTCCTCCAAGGGCTTTCAAAATCTCACCTCTTTCAAGAATTATCCCTTCATAATTGCCCTAAGCTCACATCTCTTCTGGAAAAAGACGTGCTTCTCTCGCTTTTAAGACTTTATGTTTCACTGTGCCGTTTGCTAAAGGAAGGGTGCAAAAGTGATACAGGGCGAGACTGGTCCAAGATAGCCCACATACCTTTTGTTTCAATTGACGACTGAAGGATCATTCCAAGAAGTGGAATTGAAATTAACAGTGCTGATGAATTCTTCACGCTGGAAGACAGGTATTAAAGCATTTAGAACCTTGGTCTGATAATTAAATACCGATTCTTTTTTTTTTTTTTATGTTATATATAAATAGCAGTAAGATAACTTTTACCTATTATTGATGATTAATCTTACAGCCAATTGAAGTTCGAAAAGTAAATCAGTGACAAAGTGTGGTTGCTATAACTCCATTCAAAGCTGAGGTACTTGCAAGTTTCTCATTTTTGTTCCATCTAAACTGAAATTTACCATTAAAACATTCATGTTCCCATAACTTCAGGCATTTCAAAGATGCATAATGTGAAACTATTGGTTCGGCCTTCAGACCCTCTAAAACTGATAAAATCATCAAGGAACTAAGGTCAGTTCATTCTCAACAGCTTGTAAATATAATGTTTCTCTGGGAAAAATTGTTCTTTTGTTTGTTTGTGAGCATATTTCATTTAATTTTAGAAAAAAGCTAATAACATTTTCTTTAAAGAACATTAGCTCTTTCTCTGTCTCTCTTTGGTGTGCGGTTTACAATTTTTAGTCAGGCCATATATGCTTCCCTTGCTCTAGGTGGACGGTGGACTATATTGTTTTGTTGTAGTCTTTTCATGTATTTACTTCTTTGCACAATCTTTTGCAAATTTATCAGAGATTGCTTATCTTGAAAGAAGCAGGTGAAAGGGAATAAATTTCATCTGTAATTTATTTTTACTTTCTGTTTATAGTTCTTCAGAAAGGGAAATGAGTGCCGAAAGTAAAATCACCACTATGCTATTGGCAGAACCTGAGCTCTCTCAATCGAGAAGGTAAGCAGCACCTCACTTCAGTTTTGTTTCCATAAGAGTGTTAAATTAAAATTTAATTTTAATACTTGAAAATGCTGGATGATGAGATGTTAATGACCTTTTTTTGGATGTGGAATTGAATTCTGCTTTGGTTTTGTTGGGAATTGGGATCATTTGTGTCTTATTTGCTGCCGCTGCCATTTCCATTGCCACCACAGCTGCCGCTACTTTCCCCTTTCTTTCTTAGGTTACTGAGGTCTCTCTTATTAATTATTATTTCTATAATAAAGGGGAGTTCATTCCCCCTTCTATTGCCAAGTGTTGACCCCTCAATGGATGCATAATTGTGATCCATTTGGAGGAAGAGAGTTGCCTGGGTTGTGGAGAGAACAATTTCCCTATAGGAGGGTGTATAGTTTGCTAAAGAGCTGAAGGTATCCCTATCTATTGCCAAGCAACTTTGTCCATAAGTTTCATATGTAACATGTGAAGAAACTTGATTTCTTGGAGAGGAATTGCTTATGGAAGAAATGATTCCTACGTTTAATGGTATTGACTTGGAGAATGTTTAAGTTGCTTGGAAAGGATAATACTTTATGGAGGACGATTCATGCTTACTGGGGGAAGAAATTCACTTCTTGAGAAAGCTCTAAACGCATTCAATGCATCAGTAACTGCCATTTGATTCTTTGCTTATAATACTCCATATCAGTTTGCTTCCTACCAACCACTTTTTCTTATTGGTGAGTTCCTTTTGCTTCTATTTTCATGCTTTTGTGCCTGCCATACACCTATCTTTTAAACTTTTCTTTCTTCTTAATCAGTCTGCTATTGTTGTTTTGCTTTTACATTGTTTCAATCTAACTGTTGGTTTGCCGTTGATGACTCATTTATTTTGAAGTATTACTTCTCAAATGTAAAAAAGAAATATATAGCAGAACTTGGATCTTTTTTGGTCTTCTTTTCCTTTGATATATTTGCTTTACCATAGGCATTTCTATTACTCAATTTCTAATATTATCTTTTAGGGATATCAACTAGAATAATCAGGTTTGTAAGTATCAATTTTTCTGTGTGATTAACAGTGGTTAATGAGTTGGTGTTTGTTGTTGAGAACTTATGTCTGATTTAAGGTTGTGGTTTTCCCTTGGTCAGGTTAATTGTTATGATATTAAGTTGCTTCGTTTTTAAGAGCTTGATTCTAGAAACATGGTTCAAATGTGAGAGGGAAAAATTGTTAGAAGAAATAGACTTTATTATCTTTGGCAATGTGATTTTGGTGAAGTTCTTATTTTATCACTTATATTGTGTGAACCAGATATAGTTCCACTCTGATGGTGCTCTATCACCTTTCTGTTTGCCTTTTGTATAGGGAAGAACTAGCTCACTCATAGAGAATATATCTTTGAATGCATCCAACAAGAATGATCAATTAAATCATAGTATGGTTCTAGACAACTCCAAATCAGAAGAAAAATACAATTGCCCTCAAGATGAAGATATGGATGTTCCAGATATTCTGGAGGAGATAATTGAGATGTTACTTTCTGGATTGAAAGACCCTGTATGTCTTAAGAATAAGATTCTGTTATGCGAACTTATGGCTCTCTTATGTAAACTAGCTCCTAGGAAAGTTCTGAATGATTTTGTTGTCATCTCTGGACTTCTATTTACCTTGTTGACTTCATCTTTCATCAAAATATCATATTTGGGCACCCTTGGATAGAAGCTTGACATGAATTTATGGATTCTTTTTGATGAGCAACACATTCATTTTTTTTTTCGCTCATTTAGACTGCTTATTTGATTATCAGAGATTTGGTATGTAGGACACTGTTGTATGCTGGTCTGCTGGAAAAGGTATAGTGTGTGTAACTTCACGTTTAACATCTACGCTCTCAGAAGAGGTCTTGTCATCTGTATTGGAGCTGTTTACAGTTGGTGAGGTATGCTGATGCTGTTGCTCTCTTTTATATCTTATTCCCCCTAATGAAATGGAAAATTGGATCTGTTATGCATATCTAACAATACTGTAATTCAATTGCATTCCTTCTAAACTATTCTTGAACCATTTTTAGCTTGTACATAGACTATAGGAGTCATGCTGATATGTAATGATTTCTCAGGGAGATGGTTCATGGCATGGGGGTTGCTTAGCATTGGCTGAACTGGCAAGGAGAGGATTGCTCTTACCTACCACTCTCGTTGCTTAGCATTGGCTGAACTGGCAAGGAAAGGGTTGCTCTTACCTACCAGTCTTCCCAAAGTTGTACCTGTTGTTGTAAAAGTTGTGCGGTTTTTAACCTTCTCAGACTAATTGAATTACTATGAACCTTAGATGAAGTTCTTCCTTTGATCCATAAAAGTTGATATGGTTGTAATGTTTCATCCCCGATGGCAATTGCATGCCTGAGCATGGTTGACTTACATTTTTCGTAGAAATTATTTGTTTCAAATGAGTTTTGGATCAAGGGTCAAATTTATTTGCTGATTTTGAGCTGTTTCCTTGACAGGCATTACTTACATAATGGTGTTCAAAGAGGTCCGCATAGTGTTGGTTCTCATGTACGTGATGCTGCTGCCTATGTTTGTTGGGCATTTGGTCATGCATATTATCATACAGATATGAGAAATGAATTGAAGCAGCTTGCTCCCTACCTATTAAGTGTGGCCTGCTATGATCATGAAGTGCTGACCTCTGTGTATTTGTCTTGTTCTGTAGTATAAATTCTGCTCATGAGCATAATATTTTATTAGTTTTATTTCGCCATACTAAAGATTTTGATATATTCATTAGGTTAACTGTAGAAGAGCTGCTGCAGTTGCTTTTCAGGAGAATGTAGGAAGACAATGGAATTACCCACAAGGCATTGACATAGTGAATACTGCTGATTACTTTTCGCTTTCATTGTGAGTGAAGTCCTACATCCATGTTGCCATCTGTGTTGCTCAATATGAAGGGTTTCTTCATCCATTTGTGGATGAGCTTCTGCATAACAAGATCTGTCACTGGGTATGATCTGATGTTTAAGTTAAAGCTTATGTTCATTAGAGGAATTTCTAACTTTTCTGTATGTTGTCCTGTCGTATGGAGAATATCCTGCCATTTCTTTTTATATCTTGAAGGACTTTATTTGGGTTAAATAAGCAAAGATTTATAAGCGTTGCCATTCTTGTGTTGAGTTATGATGTAACTTGTGCTTTCTCTTCTACATTTTAGATGTTTCACCAGATGCTGAACTTTTGAGAAAACTATGGCCTTTAAAGAGCGACCTGTTAACGTGATGTTGCTACTTGGTTTTTAGCTTGGTAAAGTAAGTTCAGACTCATTCAACAAGTTAGATAATAGGATAGCAACGCTGATGGATCTTTTTTGCATGGAAAGGCATTAACTCGCAGATCGCAGGGGAGGGGGCATTAACTGGGGTTTTAGAAGATAGCAAAACTGTTGGGATTTGCCTTGAATCTCAGAATCCCATATCGAAAGTTAAGTGAGTTTGAGTTTGTCTTGTATCCCACATCGGGGAGTTTAGTAAAAGTATAAAGGGTTTCACTCTTATAAATAAGATGTTTTGGTTTTAGTTTAGTAACCCCAGAGAGTTAGACACCAAGAGAATAGCTAAGTGAGTAGGCTATTAAAGGGTGTAATTGGGTTTTGGGTTAAGTTTTGAGTAAGGAGTTTTAGGAGACTTTTCTCATTCTAAAAGTCTCACAATTGTAAAGATTTATTTTATAGTGGATTAAGTTTGGATCATTTTGAGTTGGGCCGAACCAAATATATTTGTGTGTTTTTATTTTTGATTTGAGCTTGTTATTTTGTGTGTGGTTGCTACTTATAATTTTATGTAGGTTAGGGCTTCATTAATTGACCTAAGGACTAAGTGTTTGTTTATTATTATACCTCAGATAATTCAAAGGATCCATGTAGTTCTAACAACAACCAAAGCTTTAAAGCCTTTTTCTGTTTTATATAGTTGGAGTTTTCATTAAAATTATCATTATTTTTTCCTCGTGGTTGTTATTGCTAGTACTTTTACTCCTTTATTTTTTCAAATTAAAATTCTAGTTTTATATATTTGAGTGGAGCATGTGGCATGCACTAGGATGTTATGTTTGGTTATTTTTTACCTGAATTATTGTAGTAGTCATCAATCATCACCGTTTTTTCTTTGGTTATCGTGTGACTTTTGATGTGCACCAGTTAGGAGCAGATGACTTTTTCATGAATTATAATTTATTTCTTCAGGATAAGGGCTTGAGAGAGCTTGCTGCAGAGGCACTTGCTGCTCTTGTCAGATATGATGCTGCATACTTTGTAGACTCTGTTGTGGATAAGTTAATTCCTTTTACTCTGTCATCTGATTTATGCACACGCCATGGTGCAACCTTAGCTGCTTGAGAACTTGTTTTGGCTCTACATCAGTGTGGTTATGATCTTCCCATTGGTAGGCTATAAGTATATAGTTAATTAATGGAAAATTCAAATAAATTCATCATAAGTTTGATTAGATTTCTATTTGGGGATGCTTCCATGTTTCAGGTTATTCTTATCCATTTGTGGTTCTAATGCACCTTTAAAACGGAACAATGTCACGAATTGAGAATTCGCTGACTGCATCTTGATGTTTGCTTGAATAATGCAATGTTTCAGAAATATTTTGGAAACAAAATAGCATTTGTCAAAATGCTTATTTTGAAATGTTTATAAACATAAAAGCAAGATTTAGATTAGAAAATGCTTGGTTAGTAAGTATCACTGGCAGTTGCTGCTGTAGTGTAGGCTTTGGTGGGTTTAGTTGAGTGATTAGTATTCTATAGGTGTTTGGTAGGAGGGGGAAGATGTCACGGCAGATGCAATGAGTCAGAGCCTTCTCATACTCCTTGATGAATTGAAATCAAAACTCCATAAAAGATTGAGAAAATCAATTTACTTGTCTGCTGCTTTCATATGTCTTATAAAATGTCATTTTATCTTTGTCTCTCATTCAATCAAGTAGTTGCTATTTGTTCAAGCTTTTAATCCATAAATTAAGCCTCAGTTCCCTACTTTTGTGTTTATGCATACAGATAAAAAGAAACAAGTTTCTGGTATCGTTCCTGGTATTGAGAAAGCACGCGTTTTTCAGGGAAAGGGTGGAGAAATAATGCGTGCAGTTGTTTCCCGGTTTACGGAATGCATCTCATTCTCTCGACTACCTTTGCCAGAGTAAGTAAAACAAAGTTTGATTGATACCCTTAACGAGAATTTGAGACATCCTAACTCTCAGATACAGGTGCTTCTTTTGTGATATAAGATGTGTTTCTTTTTTTTCCTTAAAACAGATTTTTTTTTCCTTTAAGTGATTTGCTATCTTGAATTGAGAATCAAAATTATCATCTGACATACAGACTGCAGCTGTGAAAGCCCTAAAGCACTTTGTACAGGCATACCTTGTTGCTACGGATAATAAAGGTGCTGTTGATATAACATTGAAGTACCTGCAACTCCTGGATGATTCAAATGTGGCTGTAAGAAGAGGATCTGCAATGGCATTGGGTGTTTTACCCTATGAATTGTTGGTTAATCATTGGAGGGATGTGATTTTGAAGCTTTGCAGCTGTTGTGCAATTGAGGTACAAGTTCTCACTGTGAATAAGTTTCTCAGTTAAAGAACTGTGGATGTTTGACTGATTTAAGTGTATTTTCTTTGTGCAGGATACCCTGAGGATATAGATGCTGAAGCACGGTTTAAAGCTGTCAAGGACTTGTGTCTGTTTGTGAGACATTAACCCAGATGAGAGAAAATTCCGATATCCATTCTGGAGAGGATGACATGTCTTTATTTCATCTGAAGAATAAGCTCTTGATGACTATTCTGTTGATAACAGAGGTGATGTGGGTTCTTGGGTTCATGAGGCTTCTACGGAAGGCCTTGAAAGATGTACATATATCCTCTGTAAGAGAGGTTCTATGAGTTATACCAGGAAATCAGACATGCTTGAATCTGTGTCGAAGCTACCTAATAGCAATGTTGATGAAGAGAATCAAATGTGCTCATTTTTGACATAAATCTTGCTGCCGATTCGGTGGGGGGGGGTCGCTAAGCAAGCTGTAGAAAAGATGGTTAAATTAAGAGAAGTGGCTGCTAAGGTTCTCCAAAGGATTCTGTACCACAAGGAAATTTTCATTCCTTTTATACCTTATAGAGTAAAGATAGAAGAAATGTTCCCAATGAAATAGATTTAAAGTGGGAAGTAGTTACGTGTCAGTTGTTATCCAGTTTGCTTCATGAGTAATTTTGGATCTGATATTAAAATGACATTATGTGCTTGCTTGGAGGTGCCTACCTTTCATATCCATGTTTTGTGCAAATATTTCAGTTCAGTTGTTATAGCAGACCAGTGCTGTCTGGTTAAGTTATTTCAATCGGTGGGTTGCAAGATTCTTTAAGGAAGGCATCACTATCTGCATTTTTGAAGTATCTTCAGGTTGATGAAGACGTTACTAAGGAATCCAAAGCGTGTAAGTTATCCACTGACATCCTTTGATTCTCCAGGAGTATAAGTGACTCGACAGGGTCATTATACCCACTTTGAAGGTAACTGAGCCTCCCGATACCATTCTCGAAAAAGAAACGAAAAAACTATTGATGCCAATGTATGTGAAATCAAGCACTGTTTATTTGTATGTATTTGTTACAAAATTGGCTGTTAACCAAAGATATAACAGAGGCATTCCAATGTATGTTGAAACCTCTAATTTGTCTTGCTATGAGTTAATTATTGAATATTATCTTATTTTTCTTATGTATGTATGTTGTTGCTGATGCCTATACTGCAGACAATTGAGATTCTTTTCAGCAAAAAGATATTCTTCGATATGGAGGTTAGTTTCTGTATTTCCCTCTTGCTCCCCGGCCTGTACGGCTTATGCTTTTAGTTTCTCATCATTCCATCCAGTTATTACCAACAATGTTTTACTGCTCTTTAATCAAAACATGTGAATTGTTTTCCGTCCTTTTATATTTTATCAAATTAGTATATCTCATATCCTCTAGATGCAAATGGGCATCAGATGGTTATTTTCTATGCATTGTGTTATGAATTGGCTCACCTTTCTTCCATAGAAATGGAATCGTTTTAAAATTGTTATCATTTAAATTTTTTCCTGGACAAAACTTATTCTGATTGATTTGTTAGATCTGAAAAATATAAAGCCTTCTTCGGAATGCATTCTAAATTGTATGACTGAATTTTAGTTTACAGGCTCATACTTCGATTTTCTATGCTGGTGTTTTGGATTCTCTGGCGGTTGAATTGAAAGGGTCAAAGGACTTCTCCGAGTTATATGCAGGCATTGAAGTACTTGGATATATTGCTTCAATTTCAGATCCTATCAACTCCCAGGCCTTTTCTCATCTGCTCACGTTCCTCAGTCATCGGTACCCTAAGGTCTGTTCTGGTGGTTGCATTTGTTGAATTGCAGAAACTCTTTTTGCTTATGGTATTTCTTTTTGTTTCTTAACACGTATTTCGTCTATCAGATTTGCAAAGCTGCTTCCGAACAAGTTTGCCTGGTCTTGCTGCAAAAAGGAACTCTAGCGTCTGAGGAAAAAACAGAAAAGGCACTTGAAATTATTTCTG